ACTGTGAGTTAATGTGCCATACTGCAAAGTCGGTTTGAACTACAAAGTCAGCAGTTCAGGCTCACCAGCCGCTCCTCAGAAACCCTATACAAGGTCACTATGGGTTGGAACTGACTCGATGGCACTTAACAACAACAATACTTCTATATTCACTGCTCTACAATATTTATTAAATTGGCCTTATGTCTCATGTTTCATTGTTTGGTAAATTTTGTGTGTTTCAGAAATGCCTTGAAGAAAGCCCAGATCTTTGGAGGCTGCTATGCATTCAGTTATGCCTTTGTCTATTTTAGCTATGCAGCAGGGTTCCGACTTGGAGCCTATTTAATTCTGGCTGGACGAATGACCCCTGAGGGCATATTCGCGTAAGTTGTATAAACACATAAACATTCTAAATGGTGTACTTAAACGTGTATTCAAATTTTACTTAAGTTTACTTGTACTAAAACGAACCTAAACAATTTCCAGTTTATAGTGGAATCTCTTTTCAGTCAGGGATATGAAAAGTGTATGCTTGAAAAATCACATCTATACATATATATTTTGTCATTTAATTTCTAACAGAAGCATAGTCTGGCTGGTGAAATGTTGTTAAGTGCCATCAGTGGGTTCTGACTCATAGTGACCCTGTATACAGTTTCCAAGGAGCATCTGGTGGGTTTGAAACACCACCCTGCGGTTCAAATAAACCTTGAGGTCTTGTGCTTATCCTATAGCTCCAGCCCAGCAAAGTAGGTAATCTGATTTAATTTCCCAAATGAATTGCTCCTGGTTTCAGTTTCCAAGAAATTGGAAATGTAAAGGTCAATTGGTATTCTGGCGTGACACTGTAGGATAAGCACTGGATTGCTAACTGCAAGGTTGATTGTTCAAACCCACCAGCAGCTCCTTGGAAACCTTATACAGAGTCACTGTGAGTCAAAACCTACTCGAAGGCACTTAACAACAAGGGTCAATTATGCCTTCTTGTCATCCATGCCTTAGGTGATTTGTGAGACTTCCTGAAAGTCTAGGAGCCCTAGTGGCATGGTGGGTTAAGCATTGGGCTGCAAACCAGAAGGTCAGGAGATCTAACCCACCAGCTACTCTGTAAAAGAAAGATAAACCTGTTGGCTTTTGTAAAGTTGTATAGCCAGTGGAATTCTCTGTTCTACAGGGTTTTTATGAATTGAAATTAAGTCAATACAGTGGGTGCATGAAACTCAGTGTACAGACGTCTTCATTAAGTACTACTGCAAATAAATGCAGCTGAGTTTTTTGCTATGCAAACACTCCAGAAAAACCCTTGTAAATAAATGGCAGGTCCCCTTCAAATTCATTATATATGGAACTGATGATTGGATTCCAAGGAGGGTGTCTTCTTCCAAAGAATTTTTGAAGCTTCTATTCGGGAATTCTGATAGCATCATTAAGAATGTTTTATAGGAATGCCTCAATTCAACTGCAGAAATTGCGTGTTCCATGATCTACTATGTTCGGGCTTCTAGAAGAGTGTGCCCTACTGCTTGTGTGGTCCTGTAAACCACAATTAGAACATTTAGTCGTAGGCTTCATTCTGACTACACAGACTCATTAGTTCAGCAGACATATTAGCAAGGAAAGAAATCGGGAATAACATGGATTAATTTATTTAGCTCACCAATTCTCCCTCCCATTAAATTAGTCAGCTTCCCCCCATTGGGTCTAATGTAATGTAGGCTATCCCAAGCTTAATTTTTTTTTATATTTCCAAAGTTTATTTGTAGATCAACTATTTGTACTCAGAATGTATTTTCCTCATGTTCTTCCAAACTCTCTGCAGTTTTCCTTTTTCATCAGTTCCCATTCCTTCAGTATAACTGGTCTCTAGTATTACAGAAGAGCTAATGTGAAATGTCTGATGATCTTACAGACTATCACAAGTACTTTTTAATTTTTAAAAGTAATAGTAATGCAAACTGATTCCTAACTGGTATATATGAAGATAGTCTAACAAAGCTATCGAGGGAGAAACCACATCATCTTTCCATTGCCAAACTCACCAGTCTACCATAAGACCCAGTTGTGTGCTCAGTACCACATATAGCATTATGTAAAAAATAATAGCATAGGTTGCTTTTGAAAGCACCTTGGTGGGGAGGGCACAGTTTGAAAAAACATATGGAACGAGTTATTTGGATGAAATGGGGTATTTCACGTCCATGGCTTATTTGCAAGGATTTCTGGTGGTGCTGTGATTAAAGCACTCAGTTGCTAACTGAAGATTGGTAGTTCAAACCCATCAGCTGCTCGATGGAAAATGTGGCAGTCCATTTCTTCTCTAGGTTTCCAGAAAGCCTGTTTTTTCTTCTTTACTATTGACTCCCAAATATTTCCCAGTCTGCTTCTTTATCACCATCCAGGTCTCCACTCCAATCACACTCCTCACAGAGGCTTTCAATAATGGCCAAAGTCATTTCCCAAACCACCCCTACCACCTCATTACCACTGATCCCATTACTCTGTTTGATTTTGTTTATAGCCCTTGTTGTGCCCTTGTTGATATGAAGTGCCGTTAAGTCAATTCCAACACATAGCGACCCTGTAAGGGTTTATGAGGAATAGCTGGTAAGCTTGAACCACCAGCCTTGCAGTTCAAACGGCTTTGCAGTCTGATGCATTAATCCACAGTGCCACACCAGGACTCCCTTTGTTGTTATTGTTAAGTGCCATCGAGTTGGTACCAATCCATAGCGACCTTATGCACAGCAGAATGAAACACTGCCCGATCCTGGGCCAACCTCACCACTGTTGTTACGCTTGAGTCCATCAATGCTGCCACTTGGCCAATCCATCTCATTGGGGGTCTGCCTCTTTTTCTCTAACCCTCCACCTTACCAAACATGATATCCTTCTCCAGTGACTGGTCCCTCCTGATAATATGTCCGAAGTATGAGACATCTTGACCTCCAAGGAGCACTCTGGCTGCACTGCTTCCAAAACTGATCTATCGGTTCTTTTGGCAGCCCATGGTACTTTCAATATTCTCCTCCAACACCATAACTCAAAAGCATCAATTCTTCTACTGTCTTCCTTATTCACTGTCCAGCTTTCACATGCATATGAGGTTATTGAAAATACCATGGGTTGGGTCAGGTGCACCTTAGTCCTCTCCACTCATTTGTCAGTTTGTCGTACTGTGGTGGCTTGTGAGTTGCTGTGATTCTGAAAGCTATGCCACTGGTATTTTAAATATCAGCAGGGTCACCCATGGTGGACAGGTTTCAGATGAGCTTCCAGACAAAGACAGACTAGGAAGAAAGAGTGGCAAAAAACTTCCAAATATTTAGTCACTGAAAACCTTATGAATAACAAAGGACTCCCTTAGACCCTCACAAAATGGAAAGATACAGAGACAGCAACAATGATGTCAAACATAACAACTGTGAAGATGGCACAGGGCTGAGCAGTGTTTCAATCTGTCATGCATGGGGTCTGTATGAGTCAGAACCAATGCAATAGCACCTAACAACAAAAACTAAATGAAACTTTCCTTTTTGTCTATTGATTGTATAAACTGTAAGTTTAGTGAGGGTAGGTGTAGTCTGCTTTATATATTTATTTATTTTTAATGTTTTATTGTGAATTATGTGATCGTTTACATGGGAGAACATTAGCGTTACATTCATTCTTCCTATCGTATATTGTTCCATTGCCATGGTTACAATCCCCTCCATGCATCATCAACCAACCAAAGGCTATACCCTGCAAGCCTGTCCCCCTGTTGTCAGCACACAGTCCCTCTCCCTCTCTGGGTCTAAAGTCCCCAGCCGCTCCATCTCTCCACGTCATTGTCTCTGCCTCCATCTCTGGCTTCACTGCTTCTCTGGGTAGGATCCCGCTCTCCACTCTTCTCTCTTGATGGTCCCAGGGACCTCCGCTCCTAGATTGCAAATTCGATCACTCCCCTCTTTTTGCTACAAAATGTCTACCTTTACATTTCTAACCCTCACAAATCAGTCCTGATAACAATTATTCACTATTGTATTACAAGAGACCTATCTGCATCTCCTTTAATCAGCCCTGCCCAGACAGATTAGATACTACTCAGTGGAGATTCTATCTTCCTCTGTGGCCTCTGGATATAGGCTCCTTCTTGAAGGAGCTTGTAAGCCAGTCACTTCTTTCCTTTGTAGCCCCCCATTTTGTGTAGCCAATGTCCAAGTTGCCCATCCCTGTCTACTCTGTGTATGGAGGAGGTGGGAATGATCCTCACTGCAAAGATTTGTACCCTCTTTTGAGCTACTGCATCCATAGGTGTAGGTCAAGTTCATCAAATTGTATGAGATTGCTCTTTTTTTCCTCTTCTTTCTTCTTCTAGTTAATCTCTGATTATCTAGTCATTGAAGCCAGGTCAAGTGGGTATTATCTGCAGGTGTGGGTGTTCTTGTGCATATGCCCTCTCTTCTTATCAGCTGGACGCTTCACCCTCCACTCAAGTCCTCCATGGCTATGTCGCTGACTCTGGGCTCAAGAGTCACCAGCTCTTGCCACACTGCTGGCCAACCAGGTCTCCACCTGAGTTCACAGGAGTTTTTTGAACATTGTAGGGCTAGTGTGTTTTATTTATTGATATTTCCTTAAGAAACAAAATGAAGAGTTTGGCACATAGTAGGCCAATAATAAATCTTTATCGAATGAATGACTGCATCAAAAATCAGTGGAAAATGTGGAGTGCTGTATAAGAGAAATCACCAATTAGGAAGACCAATTATTCCTGGCAATCAGCTTTCAGTGTCTACTTCTCCAAACTACGTCTGTTTCCATCAGCTACTTTGGCAGGAGAACTGGTTCTAACTCAAGGACAACCATTGATATAAAATAACAACAACAAGGTACCTGAACTGAGAGTCTACTCTGACGAGCTGAGATTTGTCTAGGTTAAAATTAAGTAAAGAATTTCCTTAAAGAATAATAAACCAAAACCCAGACCCAAAGCTGTTGCCTTTAAGCTAATTCTGACTCCTGGCAAGCCCATGTGTTACAGAGTAGAATAGCTCCATAGGATTTTCTTGGCTAGAATCTTCCTGGATGCAGCTCACCAGACTTTCTTTCATGATGTGTTGGGTGAGTCTAAACTGCCAACCTTTAGGTTAGTCATTGAGCATAAGGTGTTTGTGTCATGCTGGGACCTAGTAAAGAAAGATGTTGTTGTGTACCATCCAGTCGACTCCAGCTCACAATGATCCTATGGAACAGAGCAGAACCACCCAGGGTTCCCTAGGTTGCAATCCTTATGGAAGCAGATCACCAGGTCTTTTCTCCTGTGGAACAACTGGTGGGTTTGAACCATTCACCATGTTGTTAGCAATTGTGTGCTTTAACTATTGTATCACTATGGTTTCTT